TCAAAAACTTCTCAAGTTCTTCTATTACCGGAAGGCCAGGGTCCAAACTCCCTGAGAAGGCCTCCAAGGCCCTGGATACTCACCTCGTTCTCACCACCATTCCTAAGAACCTTATGGTTCAACCACCTGGCTGTGTCTTTATGGAAACCAGTCACATGCTTCACAGTTGTGTTTTGCACACAGGCAGAGCCTCTGCTGTGAATTCCTGTTGATCCTTCCAGCTTGGTTAGGAGATGAACTCTTCTGGGAAGTCTTTCCTTTCCCTAAGAGAGTTAATCACTCCTTCCCATTTCCACAATCTTTGAAATAAATGTCTTCCATGAACAACTAATATGCTACACTGTAATTATTTACTTATGTGTCTGTCTCCTCACCAGACAAGGTAGGAGCCCCTCAAGACTGGGAATTACATCTCATTTATTGCTGCTTCCCCAGTGTCAGTCTAGTCCTTGGTACACAGAAGACATGCAACATTTGTTTGTTAAGTGAATGAATGAAGACAAAGAGACTTGGTCCCTACCCAAGAGACCAGGACCTCCAATTTATCCACCACAAGCAAAGGATCAGTAAGCCGCTGGAGCACTCTAATAGGATTTATGTTTTCAAATTTCCTCTAGCAACTGAATTTGCTCAGAAGCCACATTCACACCTAGACTTACAGGTGACTCAGAAGGCCTGGGAATCCCTCCCACCATTCCAGGAGCATCCCTTTCATTTTTCAACAGGCCAGAGCCCACAATTTCTTCTTCGTGGGTGGGCAAGTGGGGAGGGATGTGTGCAAGTCTTCCTCCCTTCAGCAAGTGCTCAGCCTAGCTCCATTAGTGTTCATGGAAATTCTGCACATGCATCAAGGAGAAAACAGGCACAAATAACACAGCTGCTCTCCTGATCGCCAAAGCACATCTCTGCAATCATTTTACTTTCCAGCTACCATCGCCAAAGCCTCTCAGCCAGAAAGCAATTTGTTTACGACTTACTCTGGGTTCCTAAGTTAGCAGAACTCTTTGGTTGTTTATAAATGAGCCTTTCAACTTCCACTCTCTCCCCTTGCCCCATCTTCTCCTCAACTGGCCTGTTAACACAAAACTGACCAATTTCTGCCTGAAACCAGTCCACACACCTTCCCATGATGCTCAGCATCTTTCCAGTCTGGCCCTGGCCTTCCGCGTCTCCAGCATGTGTCCTCCAATCCAGTCATACTAATCACCTTTAGACATTTCCACTTCTGGGTCTTTCCATACTCTGTTCTCTCTGCAGGGCATGCATTTCAACTCCAATTAATAACTTCTGCCCTTTAAAGCCATGCATAGGTATCACTTTCTGCAGGAAAGATTCCGATTGGATTCGATACTTCTCCTATATAAATATAACCAGTCATTCAATTATGCAATCAATAGTTATAGAGTCCCAACCTGTGCCAGGCTCTGTTCCAGGTGCTGGAGACTCAGCAGGGAATAAAGCAAAATAACAACTACTTCCATGAAACTTAAAGTCTCAAAGAGGGAACAATAAAGAAGTAAATAGCTGGACATGGTGGTGCATACTTGTAATCCCAGCTCTTGGGAGGCTGAGGCAGGAGGACTCCCATGTTGAGGCCAGCCTAGGCTACATAATAGTAAAACCTGTCTCAAAAAAATTTAATAGACAAACTGTGATAAGTACTCTGAAGAAAAATAAAGCAGGGTAGAGGGTTTTTTTTGTTGTTGTTGTTTGTTTTGTTTCTTGTTTTGCAGTGCTGGGGATCAAATAAACCCAGGGTCATGCATATGCTAGGTAAGTGCTCTATCACTGAGCTACAACCCCACCCCTAAAGCAGGGTAGAACATTAAAGAATATTTGGAAGGAGTGTTCTTTTACTTCATGTAGTTACTGAAGGCCTTTCTGATAATGGAAAGAAGGACTTGAATCAATGGAGAACAGTAATATGTAGATGTATAGGGAAAGAAGTGCTAGTCAGAATAGTAAGGGGGCAAAGGCCTGGAAACAGGAACATACTTGATGTGTGTACAAAGCAGCAAGGGAGCTAGTGTGATCACAGAAGCATAAGAAAGGGACAGAATGTTAGGGAAGGAGGTTAAATCAGATCATGTTGGGCTTTGTCTGACATAGTAAGGGATTAGGATTTTTACACAGTGAAATGGAAGCTGCTGGAAGGTTTTGAGCCTAGAAGAATGATGCTTTGTCTTACATTTTATAAAGCTACTCTGTGGATAGCAAACTAAGGGAAACCATGCAGAGCACAGACATCTGAACACTAATTCCACCAATGTTTATTGGCTCTACCATAGATAAGCGCTGTTCTAGGCACTGAAGACACCCAGTAAGACAAGATCTCTGACAGCAAGGAGGATGCAATCAAGTGGGAGACAGAATCATAACTACAGAACACATGACTATGTGTAGGATAGCACACAAGTTATTATGGTAGGGGCCAGGAAAGGAGTTAGGTAGAGTAACAAATCCTGAAAGAGATACAGCACGTGAGCAGCTCGATTGTTTCAAGAAACCTGATGTAGTGAAGAACTATAAACAGTCTGATGAAGATGGAGGGCAGGGATTAGGAGGAAGTGAGAACAGAGAGGAGTCCGGGAGCTAGATCATAGACAGCCTTGAACGCCAGCTTTAAGGTACTTGTATCTATCCTATAGGAGATAGGGAGCCACTGCCAGGTTTCAATGGAGTGACACTGGGATTTCCAGTTTTGATATGTCAGTCACTTTGTTCATACTGGAGAGGTCAACTTGGAGAGGGTAAGTATGGAGACAGAAGGACCAGTTAGGAAGCCATGTAGTCATTTGGGCAGGAGAGGATGAAGTACTGATGTGGTACTGGGAAGAAGAGGCAGGATATGCTAAATGTATCTGCAAGGCAAAACCATGAGGTTGTCCAAGGGAGGCAGATGTGGGGGGCTAGGCTGACGCCCATGATTCCCAGCTGGAGTGCCTAGGTTGCCTGATTGCCTACCGAGAGAAGACATGTTCTGTCTTAGACATCCATGGGCAATCTAGGAGATATCATCTGAAACCCAGGAGACAGGTGTAGGTTAAAGACGCAAATTGGAGTATCATCAGCACGTAAATGATGCTTGAAAAGATGAAAGTGGGTGTAACCAACTGTGACTATATACAGTTAACCACACCTGGATTTTAAATCTTAGAGCTACCATTTACTATCTGTGACCTTGAGTAAGTTACTATACCTTTCTGAGCCTTACTTTTCTCATTTTTGATTGGGTATTTTCTTCTTGTAAAATGCTACCACAGTGCTAGACATATGCCAAGTGCTCAATAATTATTCTAGCTGCAGTAGTTACTAGCAGTGGGAACTGAACTGATACTTCTGTTCCATGAGCCTCCAGGGTCTCATCTGTAGCCACAGCGAGGTTATCTAGGATGCCCCATGGAATGGGTGCTCAGTAGATGGGTGCTGAGTAAGTGAATAACTTTGAAACAATGAGACCTACTTACTACAATAGGTAAAAGAAAAAAGCAGGATTTTTTAAAAACTAAAGGAAGGGTTTGGGTGTGTGGCTCAAGTGGTAAAGTGCCTGCCTAGCCAGCAAAAGACCCTAAATTCAAACCACAATACTGCCAAAACAAAACAAAACCTAAAGGAAGATCCATGTTAGTTGGGAGCCAGTGGCTCATGTCTGTAATCCTACTTACTCAGGAGACAGAGAGCAGGAGGATTGTGGTTCGAAGCCAGCCCAGACAAATAGTTAGCAAGACCCTATCTTGAACATATCCAACAAAAACAGGGCTGATGGAGTGGCTCAAGTGGTAGAGTGCCTGCCTAGCAAGTGGCATTTTTACAGTAAGTAAAAGTGTATTTTTTACAGTATTGAGTTCAAAACCCAATACTGTAAAAAAAAAAAAAAATGTCAACTCAGGCAAAGTCACCCTTAGAAGGTAGACATCAGCCCTTTACCTTCTCCCTCTTTTCTTTAAATTTTAGTCTCTCCCTTCCTATTGCTTCCTTTTCAATTGGTAAATATGCTCCATTCCCTCCTAATCTAAAAATCCAGCAATACCACTCTTGGGGATATACCCAAAAGACTGTTACTCCAGAGGCACCTGCACATCCATGCTTATTGCGGCACTATTCACAATAGCCAAGTTATGGAAACAGCCAAGATGCCCCAGCACTGACGAATGGATTAAGAAAATGTGGTGTCTATACACAATGGAATTTTATGCAGTCATGAAGAAGAACGAAATGTTATCATTCGCTGGTAAATGGATGGAATTGGAGAAGATCATTCTGAGTGAGGTTAGCCTGGCTCAAAAAACCAAAAATCGTATGTTCTCCCTCATATGTGGACATTAGATCAAGGGCAAACACAACAAGGGGATTGGACTATGAGCACATGATAAAAGCGAGAGCACACAAGGGAGGGGTGAGGATAGGTAAGACACCTAAAAAACTAGCTAGCATTTGTTGCCCTTAATGCAGAGAAACTAAAGCAGATACCTTAAAGCAACTGAGGCCAATAGGAAAAGGGGACCAGGAACTAGAGAAAAGGTTAAATCAAAAAGAATTAACCTAGAAGGTAACACCCACGCACAGGAAATCAATGTGAGTCAATGCCCTGTATAGCTATCCTTATCTCAACCAGCAAAACCCCTTGTTCCTTCCTATTATTGCTTATACTCTCTCTACAACAAAATTAGAGATAAGGGCAAAATAGTTTCTGCTGGGTATTGAGGGGGGGGGGAGCGGGAGGGGGTGGAGTGGGTGGTAAGGGAGGGGGTGGGGGCAGGGGGGAGAAATGAACCAAGCCTTGTATGCACATATGAATAATAAAAGAAAAATGAAAAAAAAAACCATAAATAAAATAAAAAAATAAAATAAAATAAAATAAAAAGCCTTCTTTGGGTCTTGCTACTTCCTTCAAATTCTTGTCCCACCATTCCTTAGTTTTGCCAACGCTTTATCAATTTGAAATGCTTCCAATGAAGAAAACATGCCTTTTGCTTTAGAATACATGTTGCAGTTTATTATTACTTATAAAAGGAAAATATCGTTTATGTAAGTGTTTCCATAAGCAGGCCTGTATAGAAACAATTCATTTAAAAATATGTATGTATGCATTTTTTCCCCTACTGCAGTAATTCATTGCAAAAGACATTTCATTATGTATTTTCTACAGCGCCTTAAACTGAAAGCCGACATATTCAAATAAACCCTGAGGTGCGGGGAAGGCTTTGGGCCAGTTCCTCATTAGAAACCTCAGCATGGGGGCTCCCGAGACCAACACAGAAGGTCTTCTAGGGAGAGCTGAAATGCTCAGATAAGTGAGCTGTGGAAAGCAGGGCTAGTTGCAGGCTCTGGCAGGATCACCCCTGGGGTAGAGCAAAGAGAACAGACAGGGGAGTTCTGAGAGGCACAGGAGCTGTCTAAACTCAGGGGGATGGAACCGAGTGAGCAGCAGCAGTAATTGAGTTTCAGTTACCTGCAGGGTGGCGAAATAAAGTGGTAACTTCATCTGCCTGACACGGGGGAAGTTTAGAGGTGTCCTTGGCATACTCACAGTGAAATCCGTCACCCTTCCACTGTGTTGGGTGATGGCAACCGTATGGCGCTTCCTAGTGACAGCCGGTGTGTGTCCTGTTAGGCAGCACCAGCGCACTGAAGCTAATGAAGCATGCTCCTGCAGGCCTGTCTCCCAGCGCTCCCCACATCCTGTCTGAAGGAATGGCACCATGGGAAAATTTAGCACAGCCAGCACCAGCCGTCACCCAAACTCAAAAGAGTCTTTGAATGGCAGAGAGAGGCCCATTTTCTCTTCTGCCCGGCCCAGGGTTGGAACCGTCCTAGGGTCACTTTTTGTGGGTCTGTACAAACGTGCCGACCGGCAGAGAGCCGTTCTTCACCTGATCCCGGATTTCAGCTTGGTGCTTTAATGTGAAGACCAGAGCTCTCATCGTCCGCCTGTAGGGCACATTAATGAGGCGGGAGCAGAGATGAAATGTTTCCCGCTCAATATTTTCTACCAGTAGGTGATCCATCTAAAAAACAGCAAAATTATCAAATTAGGTCCTTGCATTGCATAAGGATTAAAAGCGAGAGAGGCTGGAGCACTCTGCTCCGAGGCCTCCATTAATCAACTGAAATTCAAGGACATCTACTTCCTGTCACAAGAGAAACAGGAAGAGCAAATTAATTCCACCCTGGCAATTAAGGAACAAGGCCATGTGCTTTGTGACAGGGACCTCATTCACAACCCCTGCCGGGTGGTAATATTTGCCATTATAACAGGAAACTGGCCTGAACTAAGCAACCGGTACTGGGCCCTGTACTTTACCAGCCAGGAAACAAAGTCCAAGGATAATAAATCAGTGTAACAGTCTGTACTTCTTTTTGTTTTTTAAGGGCCTTTTAACCCCTTACAGCATTTTAGAAACACTGTGTCTGGATCCTAAGATGTGTATAGGACAGTTTATAAATCACTTTTCACATTTTATGCTCAGAACTCTGATGACTACATTTTCCAGATAAGGAAACAGGTCCAAAGGGAAAGGGGTCAAGATCTTACAACTACTAAGAGGCAGAGCTGGGATTCTGACCCAGACCCTGACTCTAGAGCTCATGTCTCCTCCCCTGTCAGCACACTAACAGCCGCCTCAACATTCCCAGTGATGGGCTCAGTTTGGAGACCCCTGCAGATTCAATTAAACAGGTCTAGGGGCTGGGACCCATAGCAATTTTGGGGTGGTCTGGCTCAGGCCCAAGCTGTCCTGAGGTCACAGACCTAATGAAAGCAGAACAGGTCTGGAACTTTGTTCACAATCTGGGTCCAGGCCAGGTTGAGATGCTCTTCAGGCACCCTCGGCCCTACCTTGCTTTCCAAGCCCATCTCCCACTACTCTCCCCATCCTGACCATGGCCCAGCCTAAGCACTCTTTAGTGCTTTCATGTTCCTCTCCCTATGCCTCTGCTCTGGCACAAGTTCCCTTAGCCAGGCTCACCCTTCCTTAGGAAACAAATTGTGTCCGTATGTCAAGGCTTAGGCAGATACACACACCCCCCAAAAAAACCCTAGTGTGAAGGACTAAAGGTTCTATAGGCTGCCACAGTGTCCTGAGCTTCCCAAGGTCATTGCTATAGTTATCTCTGTTTTGAGTTTGTCTTCCCTGGTAGTAAGTTCTTTGAAAATGGGAACAAATTTCTCGCTCATTCTTTCCCCCCCGCCTTCATTCCTTCCCTCTTTCAATATTTATTCAGCATTTACTATGCACCAAGCTCTGAGGATGACCATGGCAGGCACAACCCTGAGTCCATGGGTGCACAATGTGATAAGAGAAAGAAGCAGTGGGTGGGGATTGTAGGGATACTGAAGGCCAGGAAAGAGGAGAGGATGAGTGTTGAGGAGCACAGCCCCGGGGGAGCCACTTGACCCATGAGAGCAGCACCTGGCTTTGGAAGGAAACAATGTTTCACCTGAGACCAGGAGAATGAGAAGGATCTGGCAAGGTGAAGTAGATATGTGCTTTGTGGTAAGTTCACTGAGTTGGACATGGATGTTTTCTGCAGTGTTCTGAATAAAAAGCAAAGATCAGGTTGGGCATGGTGGTATACAGCTGTAATCCCAGCATACGGGAGGCTGAGGCAGTAGCAAGTTCAGCAGGTAGACGCAGGCAGATCACAAGTTTGAGGCCAGCTAGACTACATAGCGAGACCCTGTCTCAAAAAAACCAAAACAAGCAAACAAAAAAAGAGCAAAGTTCAAAAAAGGAAAAAAGCACACCAAAAATGAAGGATTAGCTGACACCTGATGGTTGATAAAAAATGTCTTAACATGGAAGATAGGCGACAGACCAAGAAATAAAACTTTTAAGAGTCAAGAAGACAGCAGAAGAGGACCAGACACACATGTGCACATACACATAGATAGACAGACAGACAGATAGATATCCAAGCCAGACATCTGCCTAGGTCTAGCAGACAAAAAGACGTTTACAAAAGACCATGGTCTGAAAGGCTGACTGATTACCTCAGAGGCCTGTGGACTTGGTGCCATGGCTCTCTAGAACCCAGATTCCTTGAGTTCTCAAGGTTTCTTGAGTGGACATCGATCCCGGGCCCGAGACAGCTCTAGCCCAGATCACTCTTTTAGAGGCTGGAAAGGTGGTTGGCGGTCATCCAGCATTTGTTCCACAGCATTTGCCAGAGAGATTCCTCATTCCAGTATGAGGCTGGTTACTCACCGATTGTGTAGACATTCACACTTCACCTGGATCCACTTACACATAAGAAACCTCTCTCTCTCTCTCTCTGTCTCTCTCTGAGGGGAGTGGTTATCAAGAGAAGGAGGGTCTGTGTGTGTTTATAAAACAATAATGGCCATTCCATCAAATTGTAGGGTTTTGTTTTGTTTGTTTTTGAGGCAAGGTCTTGCTATGTAGCCTAGGGTGACTTGGAACTCATTATGAATTATAGTATTAAAACAAACAAACAAAAACCTCTTAAGAGTGCCTTGAAAATTCACACAACTGGATACTCATACACATTTCATTCAGCAAAAAGAGTCTGGTCTGATCTTGGAGACCCCCTCCCTTCAGGAACTCAGGCTAGAAAGGAGACAGTGTGCACACAGATAACCGTAAGGCAATGGACAGGTGCCATGCTAGTGGTGTGATGGGAACAGGAGCATCAGCAATTCTCACTGTGCCTTTTGCTAAATGAAGGCCAATCAGAGTGAGGAAATGAAAGAGAAGTATCTGTGACATTGAAATATAAATCATAAAGGAAAACAATTCATCACACACTGTTGTATATAACAAGTTCATTGCACAAAGTGAAGAATGCATTTGGGTGATCCAAACCTGCCAAGACGATGAGCCCTTTTCAGTGGGTCTTAACTTGGTGCTTTAGCTAAGAAAGCGCTTCAGGGTGAAAGGACCAGAGTGTCTCTGAGACCTTGAGAAAAAGGGATTCTGTTGTGAGATATATCTGAATGGGAATGGGAACAGGAACCCTGAAGGGAATCTGGGGATATACTGCATTTAGTGTCCAGATCCCCTCTTGGTATTTCACGATCTGCTTGGTCTTTTTCTAAAATGGTTTTGCTCCTCTCCCTGGGCCTTGCGCACTACAAATTCTTTTTTTTTTTTTATTGTTTTATTATTCATATGTGCATACAATGCTTGGTCATTTCTCCCCCCTGCCCCCACCCCCTCCCTTACCACCCACTCTGCCCCCTTCCTCTCCCCCCAACCCCCTCAATACCCAGCAGAAACTATTTTGCCCTTATTTCTAATTTTGTTGTAGAGAGAGTATAAGCAATAATAGGAAGGAACAAGGGTTTTTGCTTGTTGAGATAAGGATAGCTATACAGGGAGTTGACTCAAATTAATTTCCTGTGCGTGTTGTTACCTTTTAGGTTAATTCTTTTTGATCTAACCTTTTCTCTAGTTCCTGGTCCCCTTTTCCTATTGGCCTCAGTTGCTTTTAAGGTATCTGCTTTAGTTTCTCTGCGTTAAGGGCAACAAATGCTAGCTAATTTTTTAGGTATCTTACCTATCCTCACACCTCCCTTGTGTGCTCTCGCTTTTATCATGTTCTCAAAGTCCAATCCCCTTGTTATGTTTGCCCTTGATCTAATGTCTGCATATTAGGGAGAACATACAATTTTTGGTCTTTTGGGCCAGGCTAACCTCACTCAGAATGATGTTCTCCAATTCCATCCATTTACCAGTGAATAACATTTCGTTCTTCTTCATGGCTGCATAAAATTCCATTGTGTATAGACACCACATTTTCTTAATCCATTCGTCAGTGGTGGGGCATCTTGGCTGTTTCCATAACTTGTCTATTGTGAAATTCTAATTGCCTGATTCTCTTTCCCTAGTCTACACATCTTTCTATCCACAACTTCTGCTTCCTCATAACCTCTCCAATATCCCTTCTGTTTCAACACTTGCACTGTTGTTTTCTTGGTATTTCCTAGTTCCCACTTCTCAGGGACTGAGAATCGAATTTGCCTTCCTTATCTATTGTGCCTATGGGTAGAGTGTGTTATTATTCAGTTGTCCAATTGTGGACAAACTGGCTATAGCTAAAGGAAGATATAAAATATGACCACCTAGGGCCCTTCTTTGTCAAAGAATAGCCTTGGTAGAAAATGGAACCATAATCAGTTAGTGAAGTCTGTCACACCTGCAAACTCTTTAAATGCAAGAGAACGAGGTTTTCTTCATGTGTAGACTGTGTATTTATCTTCCTCAGAAGTCTGTGAGCACCTCTAGAGCTGATACAATATATTAGATACAGGTCTAAATTTGCCATACTTAGCCTAGGTACTGGCACATAGAAAGTGCTCAATAAATATCTGTTAAAAGAATGTCCTTTCTCCCCATGTATATCTCCCTCCTTTCCTGCTCTTTCAATAGTATCACATACCTAGCAGATAAAATATGAAATAAAATATTTCTATTTTTACATGCCATCTCTTCCATGAAGCTTCATGATCAGATCAAATTTAACTGTTCCATACTTTGTGTGTCTATATCACTTGGCAGTACCACTATTTCATCCTGCCTCATATTTTCATTAGTCATTTACAGACTCTAAGTCAGAAGACAGTAAGCTTTCTTAAAATGAGGAATGCAACTCACTTATTTGTATTTTCCCCTAGCACCTAGTAGATCCCCACCAAACATTGGTTGAATTGAATATCCACTGGAAGGAAACTGTGTGTTTTCTGAAAGTCTGATTGGGTTTGTGCATATCTATCTCAACACTTCTTTTTGATCACTTGATACATTTACGATAGAGTTGGTCAAAGTCAGGGGTGCAGTCTGAAGCCATTAAACAAAGAAAAAACTAATAGTTCCATAGGAGAACGTACCCCTGACCTGGATCTCATTAGCACCATCTGACAACCAACTGAGCCAACCAGCCAGTGTTTCATAACTCTTAATGATACAGGCTCAGTTTGAGAACCAGGTTCATTTTTTTAAATGACATAATAGGAAAATGATCACAGGCCATGAGGTAGGAATGAGAGTGGATAATGAGGAAGGGGAAGTAAGAGAATGACACCACAGGGGATGCTCATATGAGGAAAGATCTAAAAGATGAGGAAGAACAAAGAAGATCCGGAATGGAGAAAGTAAAGGGGAATGGAGCCTGGGTTTCAACAATGGAGTTTTTATTCATCTATTTCATTATTCCAAGAACAAGGAAATAATCTATGAATTTAGAAAGCAAGATCTGTAGGGTAATAAAGAGATGAACCTTTTGGCTGCATGCATATTTTTCATATGTGGTGTTCACTGTTAAAGGATCTAACTAAAACAAATAACATGGAAACATTTTTTCTATAAAAAATGTAATGAATAGATTTGGTATTCACAAAAACACACACTAGGATCAAACTGTAAAGACTTCAGTCATTGGGCCAATAACTTACCCAATGGTTTAGTACTGTTTGATAAAGCACATTTATGGAGATCTGCTGTATGTTTTGAATGCACCCAACATTGGTTACTGTCAAAGACCAAAAACTGGATTAGACGGTTCACTGATTTACCCTAATATGGAAATGTCTCCTGATGATAGAATTAACTTTATGTAAAAGTGTTTGTATTTATATTTTCTGACGTATCAAACGGATTAAAAATACCACTTAGGCAAGGAAGACAGATTTTTTTCCCCCTTTTTTGGCCAAGAAAGACAATAAGATGCATACTTTTAATTTTTTAAATTTACTCTCAGGGAACAACACCATTCATCTATACTTAATCTGATATTTTTTCCAATTACATTGGAAAGCACTAAAGAATGTATCACTTTTTTAACTTTGCTTTGTAACACTTGAGTGCTTAGCACTTGATGTGCCATTTAAAGGATAATTAATGGATAAACTAAAAGGATAATTATTATGGAGTTTAATATAGCAGGCAAACTGCTCATTAATTCTTATAAGCACAGCTTCGTTATTATCATTTACTTAAAAAGATACCACAGGGAACTGATATTTACCACCACATTAACTACATATTACATACCCACACTGTATGTTTCTGTAGTAATTTTGGTTTATTTCAAAAATAAACTTTATTTAAAATAGCAAGTCTGTTAGCTAATCAATACTCTGGAAAATTACTTACAGCCTTCATATATATCTTTTCAACATTCATATTGAAGCTTCCTTTAGGATAAGTTAAATAAACTTACAGCACAGCAACTCATTGCACTACCAAATACATTAAAAATCACAAACATAAAAAATAAAGACACATAGAAAAGGATATACAAAATGACACTAATTGAAACTGATCAAGATTTAAAAAGACACAAATGTAAACAGTGTCAACTTTCTGCAATGCTATTTAAATAATTAATAAAAAGAACATTTGGCATATAATTCACTTTAAATAAATCTTCAATTTGCCCAGCATTCCTTTAAAATGCTATAACAATTCACCAAAAAAGGAGAGGATGGAAGTACACTACATGTATACATATGAAGACAGCATAATGAAAATGCTGTTTGCAAAAGTGGGAGAGGAGAGAGAAGGAGAAAGGGAGAATAATGGAGGAGGTGAACTTGTTCAAGGTACATTGTATGCATGTGTGGAATCATTACAATGAAATTCTGTCATATTCTTTTTTTTTTTTAATTTTTATTTTATTCATATGTGCTGTCATATTCTTAATGTATAATAATTCAAAAATAAAGTAACTTACCCAAAGGGGAAATGTGACAAAATGTTAACAAGATTATGTCTGGGTGGTAGGTTCAATGGTGAATTTTTTTCTTTCTGTATTTTTCTCACCTTTTATTTTAAATTTATATTTAAAAAACTCCAAATTTTCTTTTAAAAAAGTGAGTAATAATCAAACATTCATTTACCCTTCTTTTGTAGATAAATAATTGAGAGAGAAAGGTTAAAGTATTTTTCTAAAAATGTAGTAATAGCTGGGGATGTAGCTCAGTGGTAGAGGCTTGCTATCATGTACAAAGCCCTGGGTTTGATGGACAGCCTCACAAGAAACAAAACAAAACAAAACAAAACAAAAACCTACCTTTTCTAAGAATGTAGCAATAGGTCTAGCATTTAATCAGACCTCTGAATTCCTTCTTTTGTTAATAATATTGTTCTTTAAGGATATTTTAATAAGGCTATTGTGGAATATTCTGAGGAGAGGAAAAATATGGATGCTATATGTCTGATTATCCAGAGTATTAATTAGCTTACAAGATTTGTTGTTTGATAATGATTATTACTGTTAATAAGCAGAATCCTTCTTCCAGAAGGCATACCTTAAATCATTAATATTATCTGAACTTCTGGCTAGGAGGATGACAGGGAATATGGCTATCCGATTGATTTTTCAGTTTTTGGGACAGGCTGGACAAGAACTCGTGAACTTCTTGCCTAGCTGGATTACAGCTATGTACCACCGTGCTCAGTCTTATCCAACTGATTTTATGCCTTAGAACAAAAAGTATGGGTACTGATAAAAAAAACAGGGGAGTAGTCTTGTCAATAAACAGCTCTTTCTTTTGTCATTGGTGTTCTACAACACAGTCCATCCACAAATTTTTACTTAAGTGGGAAGGGAAAAAATTTAAGTGGGAAGGAACCAATATTCATTAAATGACTATTTTTTTTGGGGGGGGTGTCTTGGGTTTGAACTCAAGGCCTTGCTCTTGTTACACAGATGCTCTACCACTTGAGCCATACTGCCAGCTCTTTTTTTGCTTTAATTATTTTTTGGAAAAGGTCTCATGTTTTTGCCTGGATTGTCATCCTTACCTATGGCCTCCTGAGTACCTGTGATTATAGATGAGTACCACCACACTGGGCTTATTTGATGATGGGGACCTTGGTAACTTTTTGCCCAGGCTGGCCTTGAATCATGATCCTTCTGATCTCAACTTCCCGAGTAGCTGGGATTGATTAGAAGTGAAAATCACCACTCTCAGCTCATTAAATTACTTCTAATCAGGAGGTACCATGCACTATTCTTTTGTATAAATGGCTCATTTAACTTTCTCAAAAACCTTAGGTGGTGGAATTATAATGCTCCTTTTACAGATATACAAAGCAAATCTCAGAAATATTGAGGAATTTGTCTAAGATGTCACAACTAGAATATACTAGAGCCAAGGTTTCAAGCCAGGTCTTGGTAGTTCCAAGAATGCTTACAAATCCAGAATCTTTAAGGAATAACCTATTAGAACAAGGTCACAGCATTAAGACTGTGAAAGCTTATCATGAAAATATGAGGGTTATTTAACCAGGAGACCCTCATAACTGCATTCCAACCAGAACATTACCTTTAATTCCAAGGCTTCTGAGAGTAATTTCAGAGCATTTTTTCTAAATGACTCAGTTTTGGGATCACTTCGGACTTCAATAGAAGGTCTATCCAAATGTTTTTCAATAAAAGTTCTCCACTCAGTGTAAACTTCTTTGGCAAGACAAGCCACCTCCGGATCTGAGTGTTTACGCATCTTGTTCACAGTGTGACCTGGAACAAGAGAGAAACCAAAGGAAAGGTAGCTCTGTATTCTTCTGAAAAGCACAGGACTGGATGAACTGATGGTACATGGCACTGAGAGTCATTCAGATTCCCCAGAATGGAAAGGCTCCAGTGCAAACAAGACTCACTTCACAAAGGCTAAGATGAGACAATCTCTGAGGGAGAACTGGACTCACCAAAGCAGTAAGTCATAAACTAGAAGCATTACTGACTGACTCTTAAAACAACAGCCAGTAAGGTTCTAACTCCTTAGTCCAAAAATTATAATAAAATTAACCACTTGTTTGTTATTGGTATATACTATATTCCAAGACACAAAACAGCCCTAGTTATTAAAAGTTTTTTATTTAGCTACTTAATGTGCAAAGATTGAGAGGAAAATGATAAAGTAATTCATTCAGAAGATGACCACCAGAGGATGAACTCCTTCAGTGAAAAGCTGGTTTGTTCCAGGTACCTGCTGATCACTGTTAGCAGCTCTAAGAGCAGGGCTACGAGCAAAGGAAGTATTGACAGCCCTACCTATGAAGTATCTGCCTCTACAACACGCCCTTCCCCACAATCCAATTAGCTATTCAAAGCTTACCTCCAGCCTACAGCAACTAGGAGAGACAGAGGAAGGAGGTGAATTATCGTAACATGGAGCATTCTACAGCACAATAGACATGGTCATTGCAACAGTCAATGGCACTATGGGGGCTAGGGTTAGGCACTGCTATAGACTGTAAGTCTTCTGAGTCCAAGTCACCTTCTGTGATGGCTAACCCAAATCCCGACTGGAACAAACCAACTGCTAACAAGTACTTTGGGATAAACAAAAATTATGAATACACACTAGATATTAAATTATACCAAGGAATTTATTAATTTTGTTAAGAACAAAAATGCCATTCTCGTTAATTTAAGAAAATACTCATTTTTTTAGAGATGCAGACTGAAGTATGTAAACCTGAAATGACAAGAAGTCTGATATCTGGCTTTAAAAATACTTCAGTAAGCCAAGTGCTGGTGGCTCTCATCTGTACTTCTGGCTACTTGAGATGCTGAGATTGGGAGGATCATGGTTCAAGGCCAGCCCAGGCAAATAGCCTTCATCTCCAAAATAACCAGAGCAAACAGACTGGAAGTGTGGTTCAAGCAGTAGAGAGAGCATCTTCTTTGTAAGAATGGAGCCCTGAGTTCAAAGTCCAGACCCACCCAAAAAAAAAAAAAATTCAGTGAACATCACAAAAAAAAAGAGAAAGATGAAGTAGAGCAAAAAAGGGAATACAGAAATTTGTTATAGTATTCACTTTATTTTTGTGTATGTTTGAGATTTCCATAATAAAAATGGAAAAAGGGAAGTATAAAAAATATCGATATGTAAAAGTACCCTATATATAAATAAATACCAACAAAAGCCAAAGAAAGTAACCAAATATATAGAATTGAAAGTTCAAAAAAAAGAATACTATATATATAATATATATGAAAGATATATATATATATTCTACATGTTTAAAAATCAATAGCTTTCTTAAATCAGCAATAACCAGTCAGGACACAACATGGAAAAAAATCCTGCCTAAATGAGTAAGAACCACACACCACTTGGTGATACATTAACAAGAGTGGGAACGGAAGCATGCCACGGGTGTTGTGTGTGTGCCTACCTCCTTAAGAGCTTGGGACTACTCCTTTTGTTCTATCCCCTCTACCACTGCCCTTGCTTGGAACTCACTGCCTTCAGGATAAGTTTGGTATCCCTTGGAACTATTGTTTACACTGTGGTTAGAGAGGCTTTTATTTAATTTTAGTATTTTATCTATGTACAACATAAATTTCACCATTTCACTCTTTCACTTAAGTCTTTCACTCCTATATTTAAACTCTTTTACACAAGTGCTTCACAATCTGCCACCTTCCCACTACTTCCTAACCTCATTTCCAGCTACTATTCCATAATCACCCTGTACCCAGCTACTTGTAACTCTTAAAATGTTTCAATGTTTTTTCTTGTCTCTTTACTTTGGAACACATATCCCAACAAACATTTGGTCTGCCTGGAACTCCCTCTTCCCTCTTCATCTAGCCTTTAAGACATTCTGGAGTCCCCCATCCAGGAAGTTTTCCTTAATAAGACCTGGTTGGGGGTTGGGGATTTAACTCAGTGGAAGAGCACTTGCCTGGCAAGTGCAAGGCCCTGAGTTCGGTCCCTAGCACCGAAAAAAAAAAAAAAAGGAAAAAATAGACCTGGTTGGTACCCCTGCTCTGTGCTTCCTTAGCACCTCAAATTTCTGCTTATCATAACGATTACTAGAGTGTGTTGTAATTATCTGATCAGTCACTCTTTTGCTCACCAAAGTGAGTTTCCTGAGGGAAAGAGTTGTGACCTGTTCATCTTCATGTCTCCACCAGTGAGCACAGTGGTGGGAGGCAGGAATAAGAAGGCCAGATGAATGACATGCACAGGAAAAACAACACATATTTTTACTAAAATACCAAGTAGAAGACATGCAAAAGGAGAAATATACCACAAAATGAGGTGGAAATATAAGCAAAAAGTGACAATATAGAAATTAATTTGTAGATTTAAGAGGATCTCAAATTAAAAAAACCCAATAGACTATTTTTACTAGAGTATAATCAAGTATTTCTTGATTTATTTTAGAGCTATAACTGGCAAGAAGATAAAATACCATTTTGAAAAAGAGGAGTTAAGGTACAATAGTGTTAGATATTAGAACACATTTATAAAGCAATAACAATTAAAATTATATAGACCAATACCAAAACAAATGAGTTTTTCATTTCAGTCTATGAAATGAAAAATGAGATTCAGAATAGGCTCTTGTAATATGGTTAAGAATTTAATATAAAGCCAGGTGTGGTACCACATTTCTGTAGTCCTCGCTCCTCAGGAGGCTGGATGGAGCACGAGGATTGCTTAAGCCCAAGAGTTTGAGGTCACCTCGGGCAACACAGTCTTGGAGGGGGAAAAAAAAAATGAATTTAGTATGTGATAAGAGCCATCACTGAATGAACAAAGGGGGGCAGAAATTTAAATATGGGGAAATGGTCAAAATATTTAGAAAATGTCTCCAATTACACCAATCGCATAGCCCAACACTGCTTAAGGCATTTATTCTCCACACGTTTCTGGCAGGCCATTTGTACGAGGTACTATACCAAGCACTAGTCATGCAGGGCTTGAACAAGAAACTATCCCTCTAAAGATTTTGTGAAGAGAATCCTGAAGATGAAAAAATATATATGTTTATAACATTCAAGGGAAAACAGGAATAACACAATATTAAGACTCTTAGCTTCTCACTCTAACCAATTATTTATCAAGAGTTTTTATCTGGCCTTTGTAGTGACCTGGAAAGTAGTACATCAGTACTCATGGGAAGAAGGACGAGGAGGAGGAGTGCCAAGTACTCATTAGAAAGGTCTAACGGTCTTTCTTAGCCACCAATGCCTACGAAAGTGCTTTTGAGACATACATCACTTAAAAACAGAAGTCACTACTGTATACCTTCCTCTTCTGGATAGAATTCTCAATATCCTGGAGATTATTCTCCTAGCAAACAAAATTTTGTGGTTAATCACTGTTGTAGATGTAAGAAAATACAAAGATAGAAGTTTGGGGTATAACTCTGGTAGTGTATATTACCGTATGTGAGGCCCTGGGTTTAATCCCAGGCACCAAAAAAAAAAAAAAAAGATAAATAAGATACGGCAGAGACCTAAATTCGGGGCATTGTGACACTTTTACTGAGCGCCTACTCTCTGCCTGGTGCTAAGGATACAGAGTTGAGTACCACACAATCCTTGGAATTCAAAGGATGCAAAGAAGACTTATAAACAAAAATATTCATTTTAGTATTGTTTGAGGTAGTAAAAGGCTAGAAATAACTTACGAACTCATTATGAAGGTCCAATTTGTTAAAACAAAATTATAGGCTGAGGCAGGAGAACTGATGAGTTCAAGGTCAGCCTGGCCTACATAGTGAGACCTGATTCAAAACAAACAAACAAAAGATAAGCACTGGAACACCTCAACATGCAGAAACATGTAAAGATGATCACTGTCTTTAGCTAAGTGGAAAAAGCAGGTCTCAGAAAGCATACTCATTACGTGCCAACATCTATTTGTTTTAAAATTGCACATGTTTATATACACAAATACCAGATTTGTTTATAAGCAAAGAAAAAAGTTCCAAAGAATTTACAATAAAATTATTAGCAGAGGTTTCCTCTGAGTAGTGGGACTATATGTATCTAAACACTTCAGCTCACAACCCAGTTGGTGGACTGGCTCAACATGTAAACAGCCTAACAGCCTGGGCTGTGCTGTCATAAAGGCACATTCAGGTCTGTTTGAACAGAGGTCCTTCTTATCATGTGATCTTCATCTTACCCTTTTTTCTCTCCTAGACAGGCACTGTTGATCCAGTTTTATGTATAAGAAATGAAGATGCAGAAACCCCTCTCACAAAGTCCTGACACTGCATAGCCTCTCTGAGGCATCTGACACAGCAGCCTTCATCCTTCTGAAATATTCTCTTCCATTGCTTTTTTTTTTTTTTTTTTTTTGCGAACTGGGTTTGAACTCAGGGCCTACACTTCGAACCACTCCACCAGCCCTTTTTTGTGATGGTATTTTGAGATGGGTCTCTTGAACTATTTGCCCAGGATGGTTTTGAGCCTTGATCCTCCTGATCTCTGCCTCCTGAGTAGCTAGGATTACAGGCATGAGCCAATAGTGCCCAGTTCTTCCATTGCTTTTTGACACACTACCTGTACTGGTTATCCTTTTCCTTCTCTACCTCTTTTGCTGGCTGCTGATCCTTCATCTACTTTTAATTATTTGAAAACCCCAACTTGGGCATTGTCTTTGGCCTCCTCTTCTTTCTCTACCTGCCTTTCCTAAGTAATCTTACCCACTCCTGTGGTCCAACCTCCACCTGCAAGCGGATGATTTCCAACTATGTATCTCTAGCCAA